ACGTCATGGTTCCGATACCCAGATTTGCAGTGGTGCTGGATGCATAATCACTGTCAACTATCACCATGGGAACAATGCCAGAGAAGGGTGAATCTGTGCCTGCTCCACAGGCCACCCAAGGCTCTGAATCACTAATTAAATCAGGGACTTTTTACTCTACAAGAGTGTGATGCTTGTGATGGTGAGGTAACTTCCTGACAATTGTAATACATATGAAATAGTGCTGGGATTTGAAACACTGCAAAAATGGTTTTGTTTTCTAACAGTTATGGTCAGCCTTTATCTAAAGTTGAAGCAACTGGAACATTAAAATTTTGCAAATTATCTATATTTCTTTTTTTTTGCCTTTGTCTCTCTCATGATCTCTAGTATTCCATTTTTCACTCATATTTGCCTCAGAAGGAGAATAAAACCTAGATTGAAGTCTCTTCCATTGCTTGTTATAAAGTCTTATCACCCGTGTTTTGGTAAAGTAGCTTCAAGCAGAAGTCTACTGTAGAATCATTAATGAGTTGTGTCCATGTGTCTAGTGACTAGATATAATTCAGTACCACCTCTGATTCTTATTTTGCTTACATATTTGTATACATACCCGACCTGAATTTTCTCTATTTAACTGACCAATTCTTTCCTTTCTGTCTTTTAGCTTTTCTGTACTGTCCTGATTTCTTCTTCTCTTCCTCCCTCCTTCTCTCCTTCGATCTTCCTTTGAGACAGTGTCTCACTATGTAGTATATGTAGTATAGGCTGACTTTACATTCAGGATACTAGATCAGCGAGATAGCTTTGTGAGTGGAGATGCTTACAGCCAAGACCCATAATATGAGTTTGACTTCCACATGTTCACTGTAGCATGTATGCACAGAAGCAATCAATTAATCAAACAAACAAGAAAATCAACAAACAAACAAATCTACCTCAAAAGACTCCTGCCTCAACATCCTTAGGACTGAGAGTACAGATGTGGTGATCAAAATTACTGGTTATGTTCAATATTTCTAACATGTTTACAAAATAGTATAAGATGATTCAGGGGTCAAAGACCCAATTAGATTGATGAAAGTATTAATAATTTTTTTAATCAAAGCAATAAGTCATTAAAGATATTAGCTGTTTGGAAACTTCTATGTTGAAACAATCTCTTGTGTACTAATATATTTATTAAACTGGAGATTTCATTTTAAAATAAGGAAGTTTTAAAGAAGATAGATTTTTTACCACTTGATAAAGCTTCAAAAAGCCATAAAATAATATTTGCAAATATTCTTGGTATGTCTTGTTAAAATACCTCTTTGTATGGCCCTTGCCTAGGTTATTTTTTCTGTGAGAAAAATAAATGACCAGAAGTTATTTGGTCTTGCTAAATATCTGTTTGTTTCTTGTCTCAGAGAAAGTCCTAGGAAGTTTACCCTTCAAACCCACCACTGGAACACTGGGAGTCTTCTCAGGCCACAGGACTCTCAGTGTGGAAGGCCCACTTTCAAAAAATAACTTTGGGGCTGGAGAAATGGCTCAGAGGTTAAAATCACTGACTACTCTTCCAGAGGACCTGGGTTTAATTCCCAGCACCCATATGGAAGTTTACAACTGTAACTCCAGTTCCATGGTATCTGACACCCTCACACAGACATAAATGCAGACAAAACACCAATACACACACACACACACACACACACACACACACAGTTTTGAAAAAAAACAAACAAGCCTTGAGGCTCCTGCCACAGAGGGATTGATGAAGGGCCACTGAGGAATCAGAACACATTGACAGGCAGCACTTAGAGTTGTGTGTGTGTGTGTGTGTGTGTGTGTG